ATTATTTTGCTTCCACAATCGACCTCCTGATTTATTGAATTAATTAAAAGTGACTTGCAATCCATTAATCTGATAATTAATCCAAAATTATTAACCTGAAGATCACTTTTGAACATTAACAATTCAATAATTTACTTTTCTACTTTGAACCATTGACATCCTTTCGTAGTCCCGAAACTCTCACACTTAAGTTCTTGAAGCAACTCAAATCCACTACACTTAAATCAGCATATTGCATTCTGTGTTCATGCAGGAACCTCTCCTTTATGAACTAATCGTTCATAAAACTAAAGTGAACCTGTAGTTTCATATTTAGTGCCCTTGAAACCCGAAGTTTTCATTCAAAACTTATCACATGAAACTTGTAGCTTTCATGCTTAAATTAAACCAATACATGTATGTATAACCTGAATGTTTTACGATGTATGGTACCCTTCGATTAGGGACATGCCGAACTTTAACAAGCTCAATTTCGCCACTCTGGAAGTCTCTGGAAGAAAATACCTGAAGTGGGTTCAAGACGTGAAGCCTCATCTTACAGCAAAGGATATTAGAGCCACCATCGAGGCACCTACCGACGACAAACCCGTCGATGAATCTCAGAAAGCTATTGCAATAATCTTTGTTCGAAGACACATCCATGATGCACTGCAAACCGAGTACCTCACAGAGGGGGACCCACGCACCTTTTGGCTTGCTCTGGCCAACCATTTCAATCACCTGAAAAACATTTACTTGCCTGAAGCAAGACAGGACTAGCAGTATATACGCTTCTAAGACTTTAAGTTTGTGAATGAATACAACTCTGAAGTTTGTAGAATCCAATCACTACTTAAGTTATGTAAAGTGGACTTAACAGAAGCAAATCTTTTGGAGAATACCTATTCGACCTTCCATACCTCCAATATTATCCTGCAGCAACAATATAGGGCACAGAAGTTCACCAAATTTTGAATTTGATCTCTGTTTTACTTCTCGCTGAGAAGCAGAACCAGCTTTTGATGAAAAATGATCAAGCTCGACCCACTGGCTCGAACATCGTGCTTGAAGTGCATGTCACCAATTTTAGCAGCCATAAATGACAAAAACATTATTGTGGCCATGGCAATAAGCGGCAAGCCCAACCACGGGCCCAAGGTCAATAGAGCCAAGGCCCACCCAAGGGAGGAAATTTGACCCAGAAGCGCCAACCTTATGTACCCAAAGCCCAAAATTTCAAAAACAAGGGAAAAGCTACCGTTCAATCGACTTCCAATGAAACAGACATGTGTTACCGCTGTGGATCAAAAGGTCATTGGTCACGCGTATACAGAGCTACGCCCGAGGTCATTGCCAAGTCCCGTCGTGAGTCTAACTTTGCCTATATGGAACATCCTGAAGATGCTACTACATCCATGGAGATATCAGATTTTCAAGAGGCATCAGCTCCTATGGACGAATAAGTTTTATTCTCCTAGACATGTTTTTAGGGAGTTTTTACCCCTAGTGGCTGAACCCACTAGGAGTGGCCGAGCCCCCCTATTTTTTTAGGTTTATGGTTTAATTTTTGGACAATTTTTCTAAGTATTTGGAATAATTTGTTCGATTTTGGTTTGTTTTGAATTATGGATATTATTTCTCAAATTGATTAATTGAATGAATAGAATTATATTTATGCATGTGACCAATTCAATCAATTTATTTCTAGGTAAGTCTAATGGGGAAGTTAGTTGTATGGTTGATAGTGCTACCACGCACACAATATTACATGAGCGACACTATTTTACTAACTTCAGTACCTAAGAAAGCACCTGACAATCCTTTCAGGCTCATCCAACCAGATTGAAGTATACGGAAAAAGCTCGTATAATGTTGTCTAATGGTATTGTCTTAACCATTAAAAAGGACCTATATTCTCCACGTTCTAGAAGAACGTTGCTGAGCTTTAGAGACATTCGAGATAATCAATATCATATTGAAACCACTGAAGAGAATAGATCTGAATTTCTTTGTATCACTTCTTACGAGTATGGCCAAAAGCGTATTCACGAGAAGTTGGAACTGTCTCCCGAGTAGGTTATACATCACAACCATTCGCGACATAGAGACCCACCATGTGGCCGGCCCTGAGCCTAGGTTCTAGAGCACTTTTTTGCTTTGGCATGACCATATGGGACATCCCGGACGTGACATGATGCGCCGTATCCTCGAATCATCACATGGGCATCATTTACCTCCCTACGTTGGATTCCCGCCATGCAAAGCTTGCTCTTTAGGGAAGTTAAATACTCAACCCTCAATTACAAAGATTATTCACAACTCTTCTAATTTTCTTCAGATGATTCAAATGGATATTTGTGGACCTATCCAACCAACATGGGACCATTTAGATACTTTATGATGTTGGTTGATTCATCGGCATGTTGGTCACATGTCTGCTTATTGTCCACACACAATGCTACATTTATGAAACTACTAGCACAAATTATTAAGCTTAGGGCTCACCACCCTGATTATCCGATTAAGTCGATTCGACTAGATAACACTGGAGAGTTTACGTCACAAACTTTTGACAACTATTGCATGTCAGTTAGGATTAAATAGAACATCATGTACCCCATGTTCACACCCAAAACGGCCTGGCAAAAGCTTTCATAAAGCATCTTCAATTGATAGCTCAGACTTTGGTTATAAGAACCAAACTGCTGGTATCTTCCTAGGGCTATGCAATATTGCACATAACTATGATGGTCCACTTGAGGCCCATCGATATCCAACCTCATTCACCATTACAGTTAGTTGCTAGATACGAGCCTAACATCTCGCATTTACGTGCGTTTAGGTGCACAGTCTATGTGCTAATAACGTCGCCACTACGTACCAAAATGGGTCCTCAGAGAAAAATGGAAATCTATGTCGGTTATGATTCACCATCAATTATTTGCTATTTAGAGCCCTTGACAGGAGATTTTTTTACCGCACATTTTGCGGATTGTCACTTTGATGGGACAGTTTTTCCGCCTTTAGGGGGAGATAAGCATGCTAAGGTTCCTAGAGAACGCCACGAATTGTTGTGGTATGCTCCCAATATGTCTCATTTAGATCCCCGCAATGCCCAATTTGAAACTAAGGTGCGATGAAGTATAAATTTTCATAGCATTACTCAAAGCATGTCGGATACTTTTACTAATATAGCACAGGTGACAAGATCACATATACCCGGTGCAAATGCACCCGCAAGGATAGACATACCTCGAGTACATCATAATACCACCTGGTACATTGGCGGCTAGCCAATCATTTACTCTGACCCTAAAGCATGGCAGAACCCTTGGTTCAAAGGATTCACAACCCCAGAAGAGGAAAACGGCACAAACAGGTGACCCTAGTTTGAATCTAATCATCACTCACTCATCTAATCTGACGCATAAGGTTATTCTAGATTACAGGTGATGTCTTAGATGAGACAACTCGACCTCCCGAGAATCGCGAGATTTCGGTCCACTACGCAGTATTAGATGAGATTTGGAATCGAAATGAGATGATCGTCAACGATGAATTTGCGTACACAGTAGCTACTAACATCGTGCTTAGCGATGACATTGAAACACATTTCGTTGACGAATGCAGAAGTAGAACGGATTGGTCAAACTGGAAACAAGCAATCCAAGTCAAACTCGATTCGTTGCGAAACGTAAGGTGTTTAGACCTATAGCTCATACTCCACCACATGTGAAGCCCATGGGCTACAAGTGGGTTTTCAAGAGGAAACGTAATGAGAAGAATGAAATAGTGCAATACAAAGAACGCTTTGTAGTGCAAAGCTTCTCTCAACACCCTAGGATTAATTACAAGGAAACGTATTCCCTCATAATGGATGTCATAATGTTCTGCTACCTTATAAGTTTGGTAGTTTCTGAAAAATTGAATATGCAGCTTATGGACGTGGTAACCGTGTATCTCTATGGGGATCTAGATACGAAAATCTACATGAAAGCTCCAGAAGGACTTCCATTGAATAGGTTTAAATAGTTCTAGACCACAGAACATTCTCTCTATTAGATTGAGGATAGGATCCTTCTACTATAAATATCTTGTGTTTTTTTTTTTTTCCTTCAATTAAGCCAATTTCCTCTAATTTTAGATTTGGGGAGCATTGAAATTTCAATGATCAAGATGGGCAACCGTTGACGCTTCAAGAGCAAGTAACCTCGCTTTTGATGTTATTGTTTCGCGCTTTGACCAAAAACATTATTCTCTTCATACGTAATTTATGATCATGGCACTTGCTTGTCTGCTTCTAGAAAAGCTAAACATTTTCGTTTTCTTTTGGTTTTTGACTCTGCCTATTCTCATGCCTTTCTTTTTTCTTTCCTTTTTTGAACATAAGAGATATTCAACACTAATCTACGCGAAGGGAAGGGAGAGGTTTGAACTTAAAATGTAGTGGATTGAAAATGAAATCCGTAACCACTTTTGCAATTCACCACTTGCTTCTCATATGCCTTATTTTCTTACCGTTACTCGTTTTAAAGGTGTCTCGTCCTCTGCACTGTTAAATATCTACTTCAAAAAGTTGTAAGAACGAAAGTTCAACCTAAAGATGTGATGTAAAACGAAACGACTCCGTCCGTAAGAACTCTCGCCGAAAGGAGAGGAAAAAGAACCACGTCGAACTTAATATTTAAAGAAAACCATATCTTTCTTTGTAACGATAGAACAAAACTACCAAAATTTGCTGAAAATAAATCAAATTAGCCTAAGCTTTTTAAGAAAGCTGCTTTTAAAATAATTTCCGCAATGCCAAACCAACCCTTAATTTAGACAACCTGTGCATTTGGTTGAAACCAAACCGACAAGAAAAAGCATCATCAAATTGGTGACAAATTTATATCTGGCTCTAAATCACCATTTGTTAAGACGATATGATCATGGATAACAATCATAACTCGTAAGTGTTCTTTGGCACACTATCATACTGATCGTTTTTGCCCAATCATATAAAACAGAAGACAAACAAAGATTACTAATCAACTCGATAAAATGCTGTGAATCGTAATATTGAATGAGGAGAAATTCAAAATTATGACAACAAATCGAAACATAAAATTGCTTCTCCGTCAACCTCCACTTCCCGAAAACTCTGTCAGCCTCTAACAACCTCCATCAATCGCAATGTAGGTACATATCAACTCAACAAACCTGCAAAACTTGCGCTACAGAAACACGCTCGGATGGCATCAATCCTCAAAAGCTAGCCAAAGAATAAATGCCACTTTCCAGAATATGCATACAACTATGATACACGAATGGACCACCATGAGCACAACAAAAGAATAAATAAAAGCCTCACACTTGCGCGAGCATACAAAAAACTGAATCAAAAGAATAATTAGCCTGCAAACATTCACATCAAGCGCATGCATCACTTCACCCCACTAGCAGCAGTAGTACATAAGATACAACGCATGCGAGAGCCACCCGGTTGGGTGTCATCATCATCATCACCATCACTATCACCATACCCATAATCGTCTACTCTCTCACTAGGATTGGCCACACTGACTTTCATTTCACTCGTATAGGTGGAATCCATAAGACAAGTCACGTGATAAGCATGACAGCAAAAGAAAACAATGACATTAACATTTTGAATGGAAAAAGGATCGAAACACATGCAACACCTTGCACCGCCCCTAGGTTTTGATTTAACCTCCATACTTCTCACACCTACCGATTTCTCAATCACCTGAGAAGCCCTACTATCATTTCTCTTTGACCGTGCCTCATCTTCTTCATTGCTCAAGTAAATTCCATGCGTTGCCTCTTTGTAGTATTTGCCCAAGAGGTTGACGATATCAGCCTGTTTCCAAGTTAACACCAACTCTCATGATTTTGGCACGGTGCTCTTTTATTCAAATCAAAGGTTAAAAATGGAAAACAAACGTACCTTAAGAATATCATTGCACCCGTGTCTTAGAGATGTTTCGGTCCTAGTAATTGGTGATGATTTTGACTAGCCGATCCCTAAGCCTGAAAATTTAAATTTACAGAAGGTTAATACAGATATTTATTGAAGAATATTCCTAAACTTCATGTTTACAACTGAAAAATATCCAAGTTCTGCATGTATATGTATGTACACAGTTGCACCTAATGCTTGCAACATCAATTTGGAAGATGCAACGGCCGCGCTTAACTTGGCCCAACAGAAAATAGAACCCACTATCACACCTTACATCTCCATAAAGCTTAACAATACTAAATTCTAAACCTAACTAATATGTTGGCTTCTTAGCATAAGGTTGAAGAACCAGAAAGTTATAACATAATTTTTAAACCAGCTTAGTTGTTCGTATTTGCTATTCCATAAGTCCTTATTACCTCATTCAAGAATCAAATCACTACACAAACAATTGTTACCTCTATGTTTATCCGTTATCTCTACTTGTCTTGGCACAATTGGAACAATTCTAAATATATACCATCACTACCAAAATACAAAGAAAACATGATAGACCTCTAACTTGTGATATACAAATCACATACAAAGTCAAGGAATGTCAATAGAAGAAAGGGACCCATGTCTCTGTCTGTGGTTATCTATTTATCTAACTTAATAGAAAGTAATTAGCTAATTAAAATCAAGGCATGTACTCTTGTACCTACAGGAAATAAGAGGTGTTACTTTCCACACAGGTCAGGGTTTTAACACAAGAAGAAACATTATATGATAGAGATGGAATACAAGAATATACCACCACAATATTCTGATCAAACTGACCTAGGAATCGCCAAGATGATCAAAATTTATAAGGCCCAATAACAACATATGAAGAATCCAATGACTTTCATGCTTAAAATACCATGCTAAGAATTCCAGAAGAAGGGAAGAAATCCATTATTTGATAGAGAATGAATACAAGAATACACCACCACAATATTCTGATCAAACTAACCTAGGAATCTCCAATCCAGTTGGGAACCATATTCACAATATAAAGAGGATCTAGGTTTCCAACTGTGTGCTCCAACAACATGCCTACCTGTAAATTAGTAGAAGAAAAATTAGAGGATAGTATACCGAAGAGGACTTGTAGATATAGCCAGCTAATGTATTTTGCATAAATACCAAATCTGCAGGCTAGCCAGAATAAATACCATTTCAGGTTTATGAAGACACTGCTGGATTAACTCTTCCCAGAGTTCATCATCATGTTGCATATTTACAAATTCTACAGCCTGTGCACAACCATAACGCATCTTGTTATCACCATAGTTCAATGTGAAGAGAAAAAATAACTCCAAAGGAACAACTGAAGATATATAATGAAATAATAGGTACCTCTTCAATATCCCCAAGTTTATTTATGATTACAGCAAGGGCTTGTTTAGCATTTCCCATTCTTCCAAGAATGAAGACTTGCTCCTTTAAAAGATCTCTTCCGACACAAATTTCATATGCCTGATATATATTATCAGGTGTCAATGCATTGAAGAGCATTTAAAGTTCATCAAAACTGATCATTTATGAACTCGATCAAACCTTCTCCAGGGTATAATGTTGACTACTGCGAAGAAAAGGAAGTAGCATCTTTGGATCATATTCTGCATAAAGCTCTACCTACCACAGTAAACAAATGACACCACAAGAGTTCAATGGCATGCACACAAGATATAGATACAATTTCACCACACTGGCACAACATCTTTCGAAGCACCAAATACAAGCTCTTGCATGAGAAGTAATAGAATAAAAGAGAAATAAAGAAATAGATACCTTAAGAACGCTTTGTAAATGGAAACTATTATAACAATTATATGGTACCAAATACATATTATAACCAATAACAAAGACATGCAATTTCAGTTTCAATCTTTCCCACATACCAAAACCATGAAAACCAGCAATATGAAGGTCTAATTCTAAAAGGAAAAACCAGTTCTTTCCTTAAACTTGGAAATACTAAACAGTCATACAATGTCAAGTTAGTCCATGTACAAGTGATTGGAGAATATAATCACCCCGAACACATCTCGATGCAATAGGATACAACTCATAGTACCCAAATTACATGAGAATGACAAGTCTTCTCTACAACGGGAAATGACAAGGCAATTATCATGGTACTTTAGTTAGATTAGAAAAGAAAATTGTTTAATATAATAACCATCTGAAACGCTAACCCAAAAGCTCCCATAAACCTAGTTGATTACATTTGTCTGCCCCGAAATCAATTTTGCACTTATCTTGATAAGATATATAGAATATTAAGAGACATATCAACTGATATCCAGAAAAATTCAACTATATTTTGCAGGAAGTTGATAGAGTTAATGCAATGATTAAGTATAAGTAGCTTCATAGTGCATACAATGAGAATTTGAAAGAACAGAAGCCAGTATAATTTCATGGGCAGCTAAATTATTTCAGCTTTCCACAATACCTGCATATCGTGAAATTCTTTTCCAGAATGAGGGTCTGCTTCAAATAGTGAATGCAAGTATGCATGCAAGAAATATCTGGAATCACACTTATCACTTGCATTCAAAAGTTGGTTGACAACTTCAGATGGAGTTATTAAATCCTTGTTTTGGATCAACAAAGGAACGGCAAGCTTGCAATCTAGCATCATTAATTGGACAACCTGCAAACATAGAGGTGACAACCAAGCACATAAAATTAGACAGTAAAACAAAATAGCCGCAAAATTGAAAAGTATTCTTCTCTTTTTTAATTACAAACATCCCCAACCCCTAATATAAGATTATGTAGGTAATATTGCATGTTTTCAATTTTAGAAAGAGAATGATGACGCCATTATTGATAATATTTGATATCAAAACCAAATTTTTGGTGAAATTGTGAAAGTTACCTTCTCGGGAAAATCACAAAAAGACCATTATCATTTGGAAACATAAACTTTTCAATGGATGGCAGTAAAAAGAGAAACCATAAATTCCAACTTACAACATATAAATTGAACATATTTACCAATACCTTTTCCCGAATCGAATCATACAGATTGTGCTTTTCAATGAAGGAAAAAATGTCTGGCTTCAAAAGCTGGAAATCCAGAAAGAACAAAAGAAATTTGAAGTTAATATCAAAACATAGTAATTGATGCAACAGCTCAATTCGCAGACAACCTTATGAAGATGTTAAATATTATTTAATCACTTCAAATTGTAGCTGTGCTTTGTGAATAAAGGTGTTGCACATGAATATGCATCAAGAACACTTACATCAGCATATAGTGCGAATGCTTTCTCATACTGCCCATCAATCTCATACAACACTGCTAGTGCCTGAACAAGAGAGTGGATGTTAAAAAATAAGAATTATCATAATTTAAAAATTCATATTCCAAATAAATTATTCCTGACCGACCTCCTTAAGGGCATCTGTCATGGACGATGTATTAAGCTGAGGTTCTATAGCTGAGATAACAGGCAGTGAAGAGTAGATCACGGGTGGCCAAGATTTAACAGTTGACACAAGCTCCTTATGAAAAGATGGATTTGTAGCGAGAGCTACAAGAGCAACCTTACAGCACACAATAAAAATTTTGATAAATGAAACCAAGATATCAAGCTTTCCCTATTTGTCAACTCAAAGATTGTAAAAAAAAAATTAGCAGTTCAACTGCAATTAAAAATGTTGTCCTTACAAACCTCATAAGCAGTATCACGCAGTCTTGGGTTTTCTGTTGGAATATATGGGACTAACACGGGAAGCTGACGCAAATGAGCAAAGTGGAAAACCCATCTGTGAAGCACAGTCCGCTCCAAGTTATTTGGAAGATTGCATGCCAGAATTTCCAATTATTTACTGGGAAGATTGTAAAAAATGGGTCACAAAAAGGGTAGTTACTACCTTTCCCATGCTGAAGCAGATCCTCGCAATAATTTAGGGCATAAAGATGCAGCTTCAGCATATTTTCTTTCCACAATCAAATGATCAAGGTATCTAGAACCAACCTAGAGAAAGGAAAGAAAAATTAAGCAAACCGTGCAATTAACTAAATCTTTTAAACCGTGCAATTAACTGAACTTGCAGGGAATTTAACAGTGTAAGTACAAGGGAATAAGCTCAGGTATTACAAAACAAAGCCACAAAATAAATTTCTTAAGCTGTGCACATGCAACAGCAACTAAATAGCCATGTAAGAAAAATCCAAATATTTGATAATAGTTTTACAGTTACAAAATATGTGACAATAGAGTCTTGTGTGAAAATCGAGAATAGCTTATCATGGAACTTAAGGTCGCTCAAAGAACTTTGTTCAATATATTACTTTTGGAAGGGAAAAAAATGAAACTTTGGCTGTTATATGAATCAGAGGTACATCAATCTTAGAAAGCTTCTCATGCAGTTTTTCTTTTCTTATATCTATGTTGTTTATCATTTCCCTAAATGTTAATAATCACACAAGACCAAGGAGCATAAGAATCTAAATGATCCACATTTATATATGATCCAACTAACTTAAGTGGGTTCAACTTTAAAGCTAAGAAAAAGTGGTAATCCACAAATTTAGCCAGAAGGCTAAAAAGTGTGCAGCTGAGAAACTTGTCAATATGGTAGTTATGTCAACAGAACTATGGCCAGGGATAGAACCAGAAAAAAATTTCTGGTGGACTTTGAACAATTTTAAGTAAAACTATTGACCAAAATTGAAAAAACATAAGAAAAAAGAGGAATGCAATAAGGGCCACAAACCAGTAATCACATCACGTGGTCACTACAATTCACTTGTTACAGTACAATAGGCACATAATCTGTTACATAGTTTGGTCCATAAATAGATATTCCAGTATGACACATTACAATAGGCACATTCGATGCCTCTTTTTTCCTCTAATTCCTCAAGACACAAACTCGCTAAACTATGATTTTGTCAAAATCACATTTGAGAAATAAAACTGCATAACTCGAAAAACATTGTATTTATAATAGGTGTGAATAAAAGGGAGTGTTGTGGGTAATGTGTGATAGCTGTCTCCCCTATGTGATTTTGACAATGTGAACAAATGTGAGCGGGGGCAGCTACGCCCAGTGGGCCATGAAGATTTATTTCTCCAAACAATGGGAAAAAATGTGAGGGGCAGCTAACCCCCAGTGGGCCTTAGCATGCCTCCGTCCTTATTTATGGCACTTAGAAACTAATTTGAAAAGAACTCCTACACTGCTATGTTTTCTCTATTGTGATATGAAAACGAGAATGAAATGTTAATACCTCATCAAGAAGTTCACTCCGTCCCTGGCCCGCTTCAACTGCAGCCAAAGCTTTTTCATGCCAACCATGTTGAAGAAGCCACGCAATATGATCTTCCGCATCTCTGAAAAGGATATATGCATTCAATTCTTATCACATTAGCAAGACCAGATTAAAATATATCTAAATCTATGAAGATTTTATGATTGCATAAGATTCAACGAATTCTCCTCCGCTTAAGTACTCCTCATCCTTATCAAATCAATCTCAAAGACGTAAACATATGCAATCACTACACAGGAAAGAATCCCTAACTCATGTAAGAAGGCAACCATTAGAGGGGGGATGTACAAAATATAAAAGCATGGTAAGAAATGTACTAAATTTAAAAGTTACCAAAAGATAAAATAAAAGGATAAGTCTTATGAAGCAACTCATAAGTTTACTACTTGTTTTTCTTCAAAAAATAATTAAATGCAGATTTTTAGATTGATATCCTTTGCCCTTCAAGTATGGGACCAGTGGTTTTAGCAAGTCTTAGGCTGACCTTCAGATTCTAATTTTCAGAAGATCATTGGAGGTGGTTGTGTGCACCTTTAGTGTTTGGCCCCCACCCCAAACCTTTTTTTTTTTTTTTTTGAACTTCCTTTAAACCCAAGATGTCAGCAGAGGCTGGGATTGACAATGTGAAAGTACCATATCTCTTCTAGAATTGTTCTGGATATCCCTAACTGTGATGTCTATATCTGGGTTTCTGAAAAGTCTGGCAAATCATCTGTCTTTTTTGTGATAATTGTGTTCTTAAACCATGGATGAGACAATGAAACAAGATCATTCTGGGCCACAAGCACCAAAGTTTTACTAGGACTAGAAGATCGATTCTTCTCTATGAAACTCAAGAGTAGATAGAGAGAATTACTCTATGCATTACAAAAATGCTTATGTATCATAACTCTAGAGAAGCGCAAATAGAAAGAGAGTACTGACCTCGGTTTTGCAATGACTACATCCTTTGGGGAAACAATATAGTACAGTGGTTCATCACCTTCGGCCCACTGGCCACCAGCATAGCTGCTACCTAGATTCAAACTAAAGGGTTTTACAGCTATATAAATGTAAATTATTCTGCTATTATTCGACAATGACATTCAAAAACAAAGTATGTTAACCTGAGAAAGGTGCGTGAGCAAGGGAATAGTCCTTTGCCTTGTAATGCTCAAAGCCATGTACAGGTAAGGCATCTGTTGAAAGTTCATCATTATTCCATGTTACAATACGTACTTCTGGTCTCTCTGCATTTCCCTGCTTCAAATATATTATAAGAGTTAGATACAATAACAGGGAAACAGTCATAGCATGACCTACAATAGAAGATGAAAAGTGGGTAAGTTCCAACTTACTTTACAGTTAATAATGGAAACCGAATTATGTGAGGAAGGAAAATCTTGATAACAACAAAAGGTAAATAAACCATTAAAAAATAAAAGAGAACAATGAAAACGTTGCACTGACAAATTATTCTGCCAAATTAAACAATGCTTCACCTCTCACAATTGACATGTAGAAGCATCTAACTCATTCCACAAAAAAAAATAAATAAATAAATAAATAAATAAAATAAATGCAAATATTCTAAATGTTAAACAAAAAGTAAGGTTGCATTTTTCAAAAAAGTTTAATGAACACCTTCAAGGAGAAATCACTTTCAGCAATTTACAACATTTGACCCCAAGGAAAAACAAAGAAGGGGCCTGCATTTGTAAATTAGAAAAGTTTTTAAAAAAATAAAATACATATCATACAGAACAAAGGGGAAAAAAGTACCTGTCGTGATGGAGCAGAGCTACTAAATTCCTTCTCCCCATCTTCTTCACCAGGGATATAGGCTAGAACAACCAAAGTGTCACCAAAAGGGGCAATCCCAGAAATGAAATAGCTGGTCTGAAAGGATGCCACAATATCCACTTGGTTCATACCAGACAATGGGACATGGTTATATGTCCCATTGGTGGCTCTAGACTGATTTGTTTTTATCGATGTGATTTTGATTGATGTTCCCCAGCCAATGACCAACAATGAGTCATCCTGAATATGATGAAGTGCAGTGAGCAATAATGAAACGACACAAGTACTTTATTTGAAGGATGAAGAAGAAAAGGTTGTGCAATAGGAAAGGAAGTTTAGCTGGTATTTTTCATACTAAAAGTCTTATATATCATGAAGCTGATTTATTAAGGACCTCAGGGTTAAATCAGTTTTGAGATTGAACCATTAGTCCTAGAGTTATAAGTCCATTTTGACAAGCAGCAGAGAGGCCTTTTGCTTGATTGCCTTGGGCTTGAAAGAGATGGGCAGCCAGCAGCATGAACTACTCATTTCAATTTCAAGCTACTTTATCCCTCAATTACCCTTGAAACAGGCATTAAAATCCCAAGATTACCTGCTTCCCCAGAACTCCAGCAATCTGCCACAATGTCCCTTCTTTACTTTTCAAATCTCAACGCTATTTCATTCTACTTAACTAGACATAAATCCCTAAAACTGTACAACTTTAAAGCTCAAAATGCACTACAGAATCACCCAATACAAGCACTTTACACAAGTTGCACTAACATGCACAGCATCAAAACTTATAAAGTAGTCACGTGTGTATGTAAATACTGTGAGCATGACACTCTTTCACTAACCTGCCAAAATAAGTGAGGAAGCAAAAGCTCAGGACGTGGGCTTCCTCGTGGCCTTTCAATGAATGTTATACGTTGATCATTTGCAGTATCGTACACTTTCACACCTGCATCATTAGCCCAAGCAATGAGACTCGTTCTCCACTTCACTGCATGTATAGGACCTTCACCAGAGTGCAAAACCTACATTGCCTTGAGAAATTAGAAAACATGCTCGGAAATCCTTTTACCATGCTTTTGAGTATAATTTAGTACAAACCTGATCTTTAAAGCCCAGCCATCTTTTTGTATTAAAATACAAATGACCAGCTAAACCACCAGCTACAAATCTTCTAGATGATTTTTTTGCATAATCTGGATCCAGGGCAATAGCCTTCATTGGGCGATGATACTCAAACCTCATTTTCTCATCAGTGAAAAGACTGCTTATCACAACAGACCCATCATCTGAACAGCTTCCTATAAATTCACCTTCTATGTCGAAGCTAAGATCATTCACTGCAGCAGTATGAGCAGGGAATTCCTTAACCTGTAAAGAAGTAATCAAGTACATAATATTGGCATATTGCCTTCAATGATAAATCAGGTGCAAAATGCAACAGTATATCAACCATAACTTGATATTGAGTATTAACACCCGTACCAAGAAATTTAGTACTGACGGCGGAATTTAAGAACTGTGAGTTCAAAAACTACCTACAGATATCCCAAAGAAATCATCTTTGCAAACAACATACAGACATTGCAAACTACCTACAATGCTTGTCAAGGTTAAACTTTGCATTCTGTAACCTATTGCATAGGTTATTTACCCATCAAACAATAAATGTTTTGAGTGACTGATTTTCGGACAAGTAGAGTTAAATCACCCTACAAGTATAAGTTCACCAACAACAACAACAAAGCCTTTTCCCACTAAGTGGGGTTGGCTATATGAATCCTAGAACGCCATTGCGCTCGGTTCTGTGAGTATAAGTTCACCATAGCCAAAAATTCAATTAGCACGCCAACGTTTGAATACAAAACTTAAGAATAAGCTTTCATATTCTGATTCATGATTGGACCAAAAACTTAAAAGTACAGAAACATCATAGGAAACAGCTCTATAACTCCTGCATATAATTAACCAAATGAAATTTAACTAAAGTAGCGTTCTTTTTATATTCCCAATTGAGCTAATTGCAAAAACCCGATTGACCATCCCAAACTAAATGCCACTTGGTTTAAAACCCTTACATTCAACTCTCCGGTAAAACATGTAAAAATTTAAAAATTACCGAGAAAAACCAGATCCAATCAGCTCAACTTCAATTTTACATCCTACTCAATTCCCCCGAATCGCACTAACCTACCCGTCAATGCAATGATCCCAACCACTATCGATTCAAAACATGCAAAATTGAATTGAATTCAAGCTCAGTTCCTCACCTGATTCCCGAGAAAATCGAGAATATGAACGGTGCCGCCGTGAGTCCCGAGCGCGATCATTCGTTCTGCGACGGCTATGCACGACGCCACATCGCTCGTTAATAGTGTGGGAATGCTGCCTCCCATTCGCTGGTACTTGAGCCTCGGCTCCTCTTCCTCTCTTCTTCTTCTTCCTCCTCTTCCTCTTCTTCTTCCTCCTCGCCATCATCCTCTCTCTCGTCGTCGCCTGCGACGCCGTTATCGGGCGGAATCGGGGCCATTGTCATGTACGTCTTCAGCTCTTCTCGTGGTTGCTTCGTCGCCTCGGAGAGACAGGCGGAAGAATGATTGAGTTGAGAACTGGAAGAGAGAGATCTGTTTGGTTTGAGTTTTCCTTCGTGTGGGTACCTTCGGTTTGTAGACTAAGCTATTTATTTGCAAGGGACAAAAGAGTGGGTTATGAACGCAGAATGAGCGCCACCTAATGTCATTTTTTCTTTTCTAAAGCTTTTTTTTAAGCTTTTTTTTTATTAGTTTTCTTTATTTTAGAAATTTTAACGAAAAACTTACGGTACTGTTTACTTTAATAAAAAAAATTATATTTTTACACTAAAAAGTCAATCCTGATACTATTCACTTTAGCCTTTATTTTGTCCTTATCGTTAAAACTCAAAATTTTCAAGGCATTTTCATTAGTTTTCCTTATTTTTAAGTGCACTTTGTAAAACTTGATTTTAATTTCACATTTCATTTGAAACTCAAAAGTCTAATAAACTTCTTCATCAAAAAAATATTTAAAAGTCAACCGTCGTCGTTTTATTGGAACTCAAGCATCATTATTTATTTTTTGAAACTCGATTTTAATTTGACTCTCCTTTCTAGAACTCAAAACCCGCCACTTTAGTCCTTAAAACTCAAAATTCACTTTATATTGTCTTGTTTCTATTTTTAAAATAAGTTCAGCCATTTAAATTTTATAATTGTCCCAAAAATAAATAAATAGTAAAAAGGAACAAAAATAATCATTTTCTTTCTTCAATTGCCGCCTCCATTATGAACATAAGAACTGACAAAATTAATGTTAAGGTGGCTGGAGATGGAGGGAGAAGTGATAATGTTATATAATATGATTAAAAATGTTAACTTTATACTTGTGCCACTTCAATGAGGACCTTAATAATGCACATAAGTAAACAGTTATTAACGGAATACATAGAAACAAGTCAAACTGGAGTAAATATTGAGTTTCAAGAAGTAAAGTGACAACTTTTGAATTTTATAAGGCAAAGTAGAACCGAAATCGAGTTTTAGGAAGTAAAGTGGCGACTTTTGAGTTTCAAGGCCAACGTGGGATCGAAATTGAGTTTAAGAGAGCAAAGTGGCGACTTTTGTGTTTTAGAGGCAAAGTGGACTCGAAATCGAGTTTCAGAGAGTAAAATGGCGCCTCTTAAGGTTTATAAGGCAAATGTCACTTTTTAGGAGTGTAGCTAAAATTACTTTTTTTTTTTTAATTGTCCATGGTACAAACAAAATGTCACTTTTTAGTGTGTTCTAAATTGAGTCAAAAAATCGATGCCATGTTTACCTACTCATTATTGGAATAAATATAGAAAGTTGAATTTTGATCATGAAGTATTCAAGCATTTAAATTTAGAAGGAGTCAAGAGAGTGGTGGAGCCCACACGAAATAAGGAATTCAACTCCTAAAGTTGGCGGAATTGGACTCCCTATACGAATGAGGTATTTGAATTCCAAGAGGTTTAGGGAATTGGGAATGCTTTTCTTCTTCAAAAGTGGGAGAGTGGTGGTTGGAAGATTGGGGTTAAAAACAAGAAGTTGTGGCAGTGATGACACATCCCATCTTGGAAAGTGCATGCGTCCATCTGAACAATGATGTGTTGGCTGATATCTAGAGGGTGATCAAGCCATAAAGTATGGTTGACATGTAAAAGTGCAAATAAATTTAAACTTTTATTAAATATATCAGAGCGTACAGCGTGATTGGGTGGAAACCCTTATTACAAAACATGAAGTTTAGAGCATAATGCAAGAAGTAAAATAAAATAAAAAATAAAAAATAGTATTATCCATAAAGGATGATTATTATTGCAAAAGATAACATACTTCAGGTTAGCTAGTTCCTCAAGTATATTCGTACTCCAACAAGCTCAATCTCTTGGTACTGGAGGGGCGAAATATAAGGGTGAGTTGGCCTATAAAACAAAGTTATTGAAAACTATAATGTGCAACCCCTTATTATAAAACATGTGTACAATTTTTTAAAATAATAATATAAGAATAGGTAGTAAGGTACCTTACAATACAAATGAGTCCAAGGATATAGGGTGCTATTAAAAAATATCTCAAACCACTATCACAAAAATCAATGCACATTATCTAATGAAGGCACACAGACGCGTAGGAAGTAACTACATAAACATGTTTGGTGTTAAGGTTTACCTTCTAGTACTATACCATACATGTATGTCAACACCCTACGGGATTTCTACCACCACAATAAGGGGGAACAAGCTGTCACCTACTCTGGATCTAAAGAGATGTAAACAGTGTGATGCGAATAACACATAGGTTCGTCTTGCGCCCAAACCAGTACAATAAAAGACAGCAGCGCAAACATGTAATTATAAGTAGATATGATATAAAAATGTCATGTTACAGGTTTATTATCACAATCAATATAATAAATGCAAAGTTATCATGATATTTAAAAGCAGTTATCGAGGAAAACTATATATAAAATTCTCACTGTACTTATGTGACCGTCAAGATTAGGGAAAAAAAGGAAGGAGAATCGAATAATGAGAAGCACATCTCTAAACAAAAATAATGAGATAGCAAGACAAATGGACAATAAAAAATATGCAGGAGCATTAATAGGGAGAGAACTGGAATAAAAACAATAAAGAGTGGAATGAGAAATTAAGGGAGGTCAGAATTAATTGAAACACGAAGAGGAAAGAGTATAAAATCCTAATTAAGGATTTTCTTTTCTATACATAATTGTTTAAATTATAAAATAAATTAGACTAATAAGATTACAGCTCAACCATTAACTAATCTAATGGTCTAAAATCTATGTAAAATCTTGCGTAAAAATATAATGCCACATATCCGTCCATATAATATATATATATATATATATATATATTGTTTGTAAAACAAAAAGATCCACTCACTGGTATGTTACGGGGTCATAGCCACTCTACCTATTATGTCCACAATATTCTTTTGGGTAGTCCTTTTTTATATGGAAAATTACTACACTAGTCATTCAACTAATGACAATTAATGTAATAAAGCTAATTTCCCTTAGTTTGCTCAATAATGGGACTTTAAAGTGATCAAAAATTGAATTTGAAGTAGCTCACCTGCCACCACGTGCTGGCCGAAGCCAAAACGTGCTGACCCAAGCAACATACAGTAGCGCCGAGCCGACGCACACCAATCTACTAAGCATGCAATCGTCGTTAAAGTTTACAGAATATACCTTCTGTCATTTGGTATATTGTAATGGCAAGAGAATATATCCTTAAAGTTGACGAAATATTTTCCCTCATTCTTTGGTGGTCCTCTTGTCATTCGTCGGCCAGGAATTCGATAGTATCTGGGTTTTTGTAAAAAAAATTTCAAATTAACACAACAAAATAATTTCTTAATCGTTTTTTTTGCACAAAAGATACCAATTAGAAGTTGGGGAAGAATAAAGTCGACTTTTACCTAATCTGTGGCCAACAATTAGTTAGAGACAGTTGAAAAGAGGCTTAAAGCCCTCGGCCAAGATGAGGTTTCTCCACTTCGGGATAGATTCGAGCATGCAACACTTGAATCTAACACTCGAATCTAAGTTTAGGGCAAATTAGTAATTTGGGCTTGATATTCATAAAAGTCCAAGATTATGTGATGAGGTTCCATTTTGGATACATGGTTATGTACCTGACCCATTCTAACACGTGACCCAGGTTTTCGACCTGCTTCTTACAACAAATTTCAATGACGATTCGACAAAATTCGACTACGACAAAACCATATGCCATCACCAATCGCTTGAGAGCCTCTCCAACTACATTTTTCGCTCAAACTCGACCCAAATTGGCGGATGTTTCGCGACAGACAAAGCTATAAGACTATGCCTATTGTAGATCACTACCTATACTATATGGTTTTGCTTGGTATATTCGCAATTAGAGACCATAACATTTTAGGAGTGATCATGCTTGGTATACATGTGATATGGTTCTGCTTGGTATATCTGCAATGGGGGACCTTACTTGTTCGAGGGTGATCATTCTTGGTATATCTATGATGAGTGTTCATTGCTATACTATTAGACTATGATTATGGTCTTGTTTGGTATATCTGCGATGAGAGACCATACGCATTTTAGAAATGATCATACTTGGTATATCTGCAATAGGTGATCATTATCTAGTACTATAAAATATGGTTTCACTTTGTATATTTATGATGAAGGACCATACATGTTCGAGGGCTAATCATACTTGGTATCCATGATGGGTGATCACTGCTTACACTATTAAAAAATGCCTATGGTTGTGCTTGGTAAATCCACGATAGGCAACAACTTCCTAGTTAGATTTCGTTAAGTAGTCCATAATCCCTTGCCTCATTCGGTTCCGTTCAGTGGTCCGGAACCCTACCTTTGATTGGATTTCGTTGAGTTGGTCTAGAATCTCATTTCATGTTAGATTTCGTTGAGTTAGTTCAGAATCCAAGATTCTTGTGCATAGAAGTTGTTCAATATGCTTGTGGCTATAACTTATGGTTATAATGCTAGATAAGATTTCAATAATGAAATACAATAAAACTTATAGAGGTTGGCATTATTAAAAAAATTTGTTAAGTAATATTTGATCTTGTTGATTGATCAGCATAGTTAACTGTTAATATTGTGAAACTTGGGTTCATGGAATTGATTATATGTTGTGATTATGGAATTGTGTTGGAAAATATTGTGAGATGTGTGAATGACGAAATGACAATTTTGGTGGGTATATGGTTTCATTATGTAGTTTGGAATATAGTGAATCATGCTAGTTGAGTTTCATTGAGTGATTCTAGAACTGTATGTGTTTTTTTTTCCTGCTAGAAGTAATATGAGAAATGTCGGGGTTTAAATAAAGTGTGAACTCTAAATGGCTTGATTTCGTCTTAGGTTACGCAAACAGTTAAATACTAATGTGGTAATGATATAAAAGAAAAAGTTACTGCACTGTTGAATCATTGATTTGTTTTGTTTGTCGTGTCTTGAAGGCGAGGCATGACAGATAATCAGGTACGTGGTGACATCATGTGTCGATCGTGGATATATCTCAGGATCAGAGCTTGACAAATAACAAAGAGAACTAGACAACAACTTCCCATTTTCTATTTCAAAATGAT